TGGTGATGATGATGTGGTGGTGGTGGTGGTGATGATGGTAGTGGTGGTGGTGGTGATGATGATGATGTGGTAGTAGTGGTGGTGGTGATGATGATGTGGTGGTGGTGGTAGTGGTGTTGATGATGATGGTAGTGGTGGTGGTGGTTGGTGGTGGTGGTGGTGGTGATGGTGGTGGTGGTGGTGGTGGTGATGTTGATGGTGGTGGTGGCAGTGGCTATGGTGATATAATTATGACGACGACAGTTAAGTAGTGAAGGAGATACTAATAACCACCACTTCCTCTGCTACTAATTAAGCATTCATTGTGTTTTACATCCTTTATGTTTAACTCATGTTTGTTCTTAATAACAACTAGCCATGTTTTACTTCCACTGAACACATGAAAATGAAGCTTAGAAAAGTTTAAAGACCCCATAAAACACCAGGGTGAAGGAAGCTTATGGAGATACACTCCATGACATGGACATCTGTCCAGTATGATGACTGTCACTTGAAAATGTTTGTGATTGAAGCAAATGTTTCGATTTCAGTGAAGCACACCATTGCTGAGTGTGCAGCTCTCCTGGGAGGAAGGGCAGAGCTACCAGGCAAGGCAGAGAAGTATGAACTACAGGGTCCACACCAGCTAGCAGCCTAGCCACAGACGGTAATGATGGTGCTATGTGAGGTAAAGGACAGCTTGTCTTGGCTGCTGGACAGATTTGCAGTGTCAGGAACCATGAGTCCTGAGATGCAGCCTCTCTAACGCGCCATGGGAAGGAAGAGAGGCTTCAGAGGGCTCTCTTACTCATTCCCCAGGAGCCAACTCTCCTCAACTGACAGCCAGCCAGCTGAGCTCCTCCAAGCACCAATCGGCTGAATGGCCTGCCCTTCACACCCAGAGCCCAGAGCCCCAGGCCAGAGACAGGAAGTCACTCAAGGAGCTGCAGCAGGCAGGAAACACCACTGCCTCTTCCAAGGAGAGGCTCAGTTTTGGGGGCTGTAGGGTGAGCTGGGTCAGGGCTGGAGCTCAGACTTTGGTCTGAATCCCAGAGGCCATTATGGACGGCTAGCCTGTCATGTTTTAGTATATTCATAGCTACACAGTTGCTTAGCAACAGGGATCCATTCTGAAAAATCCATCATCAAGTGATTTTATTATTGATCAAGCGTCATATGCTCTACTTACATAAACTAAGGTGGTGACATCATCACTGGGTGATATAATCTGTGACTACAGTTTTTATGCAGCCCGTGGCTGCAGCAGAATTGTCATG